AATTACAGGTCGCAAAATGAAAGGAATTTTTATCCTCTAGAATTAATGCGGACAGTTGCCCCAAACTCATCCATCCGGATTTGTATGCAGCCCTCCCTCTTCTAGACAGATTTCGCTTAAATGACAGAACGAGCTTTGTTAGCAACTTGTGCCACTACATCATTAGCTGACCGTTTCTTTTTCTTGGCAGGCCTTTTCAACTGCCACTGCATTTTAAAAATATACACACCACCGTCCTTTGCTCTGTCATGTGTTCCATCGTTTTAGTCATTCGTTGCCCTCTTTCCGCATGGAATAATGGCATTATTAAAATTACGTTCCTCAGAGAAATATTCTTTTAAAGAGATGGTCACCGAGAATGATTTTATATGCTTTCACATCCTTTTTGTACCCTATCTCTGCCAAAATTTACTCCATTGAAAATGTTGATTAGTTTTACCTTCGGAAATTCATTTTCTGTAAATGCCAACTAGATTTAAATTGTCCACCTTTTCGGCAGAATGGTTCTGATTGCTTGTGAACAGCCCCAATGATGACTCCTGATTATATCATAGGTCGAAATATTGAAATAAAGGGAGGTTCTGTTTTGCGCGCCTGAAGTCATTGTTTTGTTGAAAGCGTGAACAATTTTGATTGTTTTGCTTAGTGGTTGTAAGCGATTATTTGTCATTTGCAGATGTTAGCCGTTTACATGCCATATATGAATTTGTTTTAGCTGCCTTTGACGACTGCTCGAATATTGCTCAATCATTTCAAGTGGGACAAAGAAAAACTACTAGAAATGTAAGGCTTTGGCGCCCGTTAAGTTACCCTGACCTGGTTTGTTTTATAGGTACTACGACTGCAGCGATCAGGAAAACATTTTTAGGGAAGCTCATGTCATCAGCCCTTTTAAAAAATGCCCCGCGGCTAGTTCCAGTAAAAGTTCCTCTGTTATGGGAACTTCGCGGAGCATCACCAGCTTGAATGAAATGTGTCAGATCTGCATGCACTCCTACGATCCCACCGTAAGTTCCTTTGCCATAAATTTTTCGTGTCTAGTTAACAAGTTACTGTTGCTAGTATGGGATGATCATCTGCTTCAAGTGTTTGCGCTGTAAAAAAATTATCACGGTTTATTCCGCGCTGTATCCAAATTTTTCGAAACCATCGGTTACGCGTCGTTGTAATAAAAGTTCCTCTAAAACCGTGGATATGTCTGTGTTTCGCGTCCATTTTGCACGATCGCCTTCAGGTCGACCATGTCATGATTCGGTTCTCACTGTGAAGCTCGCGGGATGGAATGAACGGTTTGCGCTGATCGAATCTGCTTGGACTTGTTTTTCTTAATCTTCGTGGGTACGTCAGGAAGTGAACAGACATATCTGACAATAGCGACAGCAGATGATGCACTCATCTTCATCTATGTTAAGCAGAGTAAAAATAGCAAAAATCAGTCCAAACTGCCGACGAGTGAAGTGACTTGTATTTCGCAGTCGCTAAGTTTATTGTAATCGTTCAGGTTAGAGCAGTTCAGCTGTCAGTGATAGACGGACGCATTCGCAGACGAAAGTCTTCCTGGGTTTGAATCATGGCCCGGTTAATCGTTTCTCACTGTTCCGAAGTGAGTTTAAGGCAGATTGGCTTATGGTCATATACTTGAAAAGAAGGGGACTGCACTCTGTCCTTACCACACGGTTGCGGATATTAATTTCATAAAGAACATGCTTTTCCTGCCGGCAATAATGTGGCAGAGATCTCTGCAGCACGGTTATTGTTGTTGCTGTTATTTTTATTGTTATCTAAAATGAACTAACAACGCTTTTGCAGAATAGTCCATATTTGTTATGCGTAGTAATTAAAAGTGATCTCGGATTTGTGTTAGGCATAGTTCGCTACTGCGCTTTAGGTAATGTTTTTTCTCACGTAGGTCTACCTCTGTGAAATTGTTCCCGTTTTTGTGTTGTCCTCTAACGTGCGAGCGGCGAACCAGTGAACGATTCTCACCAGAAAACAGTCAAGCGCATTTACTTATCTTTAAAATTGTGGTTTACATGAATGCCGCCGTTCAGCATGATGATACATGTCCCCTTACATCGCACCGTCTCTTTTCTTATAGACGCATCAGAGGGCCATTTCAGCAGACCACGGCCATATGCTCTTGAGTACCTTCAGTACATATATGCAATACAGCGTCACTGAGTAGGGTACGAACCAGGCAGATTCGCAGACTTGAAGTTGTGGCTGGAGTAAAACATGCTAAGCACACCACTAAGTAGAACTTAGCCACCCACGTGCACAGGTCGGCTCGAAGATGCGTTCGCTGCTTTGTTAAGCCCAGTCAGGAGCCGGTATACAGGCTCTTCTGACCCATTTCTCACAGTGTCTGTTATCAGCACCTGTTCGTTCATGATTCGGTGATGCTGTTTGTCACAGCGGCTTTCTGAACTGCTTGAATGAAGGGAATCACAAATGGAATTGTGAAGATTGTTTCCTTTGTTCGTGGCTGCGAGCGAATGATTGTGCAGTTGGTTTCAATGTGCTGCTAGCCGTT